CTCCGTTATTCCAGCCATGAATATTTGAGTTCAATAACTTGAAAAAGTAGTGAGGTACCATCTTTTTGGTAGGGATGAGGCCGATCCGATCGGCCTCCGATACCAGCATAATTTACGTATCGGATTTTTCTGATCCAACCTGCAGAGATTTCCGATCCATGATGCAAGTTGGCTTCAAACTATGGAATGGATTTCCTCAACGGAGGCGTGTCTCAGAACCCAGAGTAATAAGACCCGCCTCACATTCAGGAAATCCAGTTCATAGTTTGCATCCAGCTACAACGTGAGGACTGAGTTAGCAGCACTGTGGCTAACAGCTAAACAAATTTTCATCTAAACATGTCTGCTGTGTGGAAGTATTTTACAATAGAAACACCACAAAGCAAGACAGCAACGTGCAATGTCTGCAGAGCCATAGTGCCACATGAAACTGCGGTAAAGTTAAAAAAGTTAAATCTGGTCCTCTGGACATTCAAAAAAAAAAAAAAAACAAAGCAAATCAAATCAACAAAAAAATGTAGAAACGTTTCGTCTCTCATCCGAGAGACTTCCTCAGTCTGAGGAGCTGTATTCAGCTCAGTCTCTTAAATAGCACCGTCTCAGAGTGGATCAACCAGTTTTGCTGCTGCCAACCAAAACCAGCTGATCACATGCTCAAGAAGGACCATCAGCCTAACAATGGATCATTAGCACACTGATGGCTGTTTACTACTCACAGAGGGCTGAGTGATACTAGCAATCACAGCATTGTAAGAGGGGGACAGTTGAACGTGGAGGCCTCCACCCCTGTTTAACGATGGACGATTTCTTTTCACAAAGATGGCCTCCTTTACTCCTCTCTCAAACCATCGTTCCTCTCTGTCCAGGATGTGCACATCTTCATCCCTGAAAGAGTGACCGTTGGCCCCGAGATGAGTGTAGACCGCAGAGTTCTGGCCTGATGTTGTTGATCTTCTGTGCTGGGCCATCCTTTTGGCCAGTGGCTGTTTAGTTTCCCTGATGTAAGACTGATCACAGCCCTCCTGACACTGAACAGCATACACAACATTACTCGGTTTGTGCCGGGGGACTGGATCTTTGGGATGAACCTCTTTGCTGTAATGTATTTTGGGGTTTGAAAGCCACTGGGACGTTATGTTTAGAAAATAAATGTCTCCGATTTTTTTTTTTTACTCATGCAACATACAGAATGACCACTGGTCTGAGTCTGGGTTCCTCCTTTTCACCTGATGGCTGACTGAAGTCCTGTTTGGATTTATTCTCTGCTTTCAGGAAGGCCCAGTTAGGATATCCACATTAGCCTGTCTTGTGTGGGATTTCTCCTTCTGCCTGGCTCCTGAGTTAGTGCGGACGCTGCCTGATCTGTGGTACAGAGTCCTGATGACTTCTAACTTGTACTCTGGACTTGTGATCCATCACTCATTCATGATCCTGGGTTTTGTAATGGAACTTCCCATGCCAATGGAGATATTTTCCACCACTTTGGTAATATGGGGAGCTGGCCATGGTTCCATTTTACAATATGGTGGGTTTTCATTTCTACAGGATGCAAAACCTACAAGATATAGCACTTGACATGCACATGCTCCCCCCCCCACACACACACACACACGCACACGCACACACCCACACACACACACACACACACACACACACACACACCGATGTCTAATAGATTACTTGCCCAGACTGAGAGTTCATGAGAATGGGCAAGGGTTTGATTGTGTTACTTTAATGTTTATTGTGTGTTTGTTTGTTGTTGTTCTTAGAAAGGTTAAATATATGGAAGTGCTAAATTATCTGATGGATCTAGGGCATATATAGCCTATATTATCTTAATTCAGGAGTCACATAAAAGTGACTTGATACTATAATAAAGAGAATTGGGTCACACATGTTTCAGGAAGAGTCTGTGGGGATTTTGGAGATGATAAATTAATCAGGTCTAAAGACTTTACTGACCCCAATATGCATCTAAAGTGAGAGCTGTATAATTCGGTTGTATATCTAACCTTACTTGATTACTTACTCTTAATTTTATTGTACTGCGTATAATGACAATAAAGGCATTCTGATTCTGATTCTGAATTTATTTAATCATGTATCATTTTCTGTTTAATTTGTACAGAAACTAAGATTTTATTCTAAATAATTGTTTGTAATGTTAAAGCTAGCGGTAATTAGGTGAATTTTATTTTTTCATTTCCTGTGATTCCTAAACAAAAAAAAAATCCCTTAAGAAAATGAGAAAAATAAATATTCTTTACATGACATATTGTTGTATTTAAACTGAATGAATTTAAGATACCATGACTCTAAATCCAATGACACATTTGCCTTAAAAGAACCGAAACAGAGGAAAAGAGTACTTTACTGTATCAAGTACATTAGACAAATAAATACACAAAACAGAAAAAAAACAATGCAGTTTCACTTGTGCAAGGAACTGAGGATGTCATGTAAGGATAAAGTGGATACTCAGTGTAATTAGCTTCCCTCTTTAGTACAAAAACAGCCAATGGTTCAGTGTTACTTGTCAACATTTAGGAATATATATTTAAAATATACTGCATGGGTCAGTTTTCATTGCAGGAGACATGCATTTTAGCCCTTCTGAGTGACATTTTTAGAGTTACACATCAAAAATTGTATTTGTATTAAGCTCTTTATAAAATATTCTATCAACATTAATTTGTTCAAATGTCACAAAGCTGGAATTTATCTTCCCATCTGCCATTTCTTAAAAC